GGGAAAGCATACAATTAGTGTGATTGTTGGAATTTATTTTTAGGTTTAGCATTCCATCCTTTTTAATGTAAACCAGAGTTGAAACTTGAGAGTTTCATTGAAAAGTTATGGGTCGTTATGACAGTTAGTGACAGTACCAAAAATGAATCTGTGAACTCTGTTCTTGTGAAAAAGTTTGTAATAATGTTTTGAATTCTATCTTTCTTAATACGGTCAGTTTGTTTCTGCAGATTAACTCTTCCTGTTACCTACTCCCAATTAATTTCATAAATTTTACAGTAAGAAGACAGTGGTAATTACTGGTACATGTACAGTACATGCAGTAGGTTTGCAAACGTGGTACATGTACATGCACCTCTCACTTTCAGGCAAAAATGAAAACCCTAAGATTTCAGCTTTAAATGTGATGACATGGATGAGGAAAGATTACATGTACATGTAGCTACATGTACCTGTACCTGTAGCAGCCCTCTCATGCAGTATTTGTTGACATTATCTTATCACATGTAAGTCATTAATTGTTAATTATCAAGTTGGAAGTAAGGATGGGGCATTCCACAGTAACTGACATCACAAGGCATAATTTCAACAACACTGTTTGTATTGTAATTATGTAAATAGAAATATGGGGGGGTGTGTATTTAGTACAGTTACCATGGTTACATGTATATGAGTTAAGGAGAGTGTAGAAATAAGTGGGAAGCTTTTCACCCAATCTGCATTTTTCATTGAACAGCAAGCAAAAGTGTGTATGGAACTGACGTTACACAAAAAGGACATGGAAAATTATCGTGTAGTATCAAATTGAAGTATCTCATGTCCCTGATTTGCTAGAATGATATGTTTGAGGTACGGAGGTGCAAAAAAATAAGTTAGTTAAATGTTTCCCTTTTATGCTGTGAAAACTTTAGTGAAGATATGACAGTAACTGACGTAACATACATGTACATGTAACTGACGTTGCGCTTACATTTGCCGCAAACGCACAAATGCAAAATTAAAATTGAGAATTATCTCATGTCCCTGACTTGTTAGAATGATTTGTTTGATATGGAATCATACCTTGGTTCATCAAGTACAGAGACATGTACATGTACATAAATGAAAGGAAAACATTAGTCCATTTTCTTTTTTTTAACCCTAACCCCCTATGGTGTATGTAAAATCGTATTGAAATTGGTGGATTTGGGACTCTTAGGATTAATGAAAACATTGTTATAAACAAAACAGTGACTGATTCTTAAACTACAAACAGAAGAGTACATGTACATCTGTGTATTCATTTCTCTGAAAAACATGACCAAGGTTATTAAAAATTAGAAACACTGCTACGTGTACATGTATTTATTGAAAGCAATCATTACATGTAAGTCCAGATTTTAAAACCTTAAGCATACTCTGAAGTTGGTTATCATACAACCACAGCAATGTCATTGGTTCCAAAACTATTGCTTTATTGTTCTGTAGAACCTCGAATTTTAATACTGGGTTTTACTGGGCAGTGTACTGAGCTAAAGGTCCTTGTGCATGACAACTCTTAGTAGTGGTAGTTTTCATCACTGGTCATAATAGCATCTCTAATCAGGAAGTGATTTTTGAAGCCATTACCATCTCTGCAGTGTTCACCTTCATTCAGCTTACACTTCCTTGATTCAGGCAAACAGATTATGGTACGTTTCCCCATCTGATGGTCATATAACTGGAACGAAGCATCAACTTTACAGCTATATCAAATTAAAGCTCACTTCTTCATCATTCATTTTCCTTTCAATTTTCAGTGGCTTAACTGACGACTTTTGAAGATATTGCTCTCAAGAGAAAATCACCCCTCAAACCAGTCATGAGGCCCATCACCATTTTGAAAATTGATACCTACGCTCCATAGCAAAACAGAGCAATTTGGAGGGCCCTTTTTGGTCTGATGCTTTCAGAAATACAAGCTGGTAGTCCTGCTCCTAGACTCCATCCAAAGGTTCTTGAACCACTAAGTCCATGGGCCACAAAATGCTCTAATACATGTAGCAGAGAATTTGAAGCCTACAAATCGTGATTTGGTCCGCATAGGCAATATTGGACCTACGTGTATTTACTGGCCCTTCAACCCTCAGGTGAATCAATGGGGCTAGTTTATCATTTTTTTCTTGGTAACTGATGTTATATCATGGTAACTGATGTTACATAATGGTGTCTACAGTGTAACATCTCGGTAACTGACGTTACACATTTTTAAGCGTCCGTTTTGGCTCAGTGGTAGTTGAGTGTCCCAATTCCTGGTACATGTATAGAGAGGAAGACATTTGGTCATAGATTAGAAGTCCCAAGTTACACCATACAGAACACCTTCTTTATGGAATGAAAAAAAACATGTTTTTGGTAACTGATGTTACATCCATTGCGGTAAAACTTATCAATTTTTTTGTAAAATTCATCAATGAAACCAACGTTTTTTCTTGTCATTTGGTAAAGTGTTTCTCTGGTAACTCCGTTCACATGAAAGATTACCTTTTAAATCACTGGCACAGTGGAGATACAGGACGCAAGTTACATGTCAATGTCAGTGCACTCTTTTTTACCCTCAAGTTATTAGTATACTTTGGCGGTCATTTTGAAAATAAAAATGGCCGCCTTCATAAAAAATTTTTGTTGATTCTTAAAGCTTTAACTCTGTATTCGTAAATATAAGGTGTTTAAACCAATAGCATTCTGAATTTTTGGCATCTGTGTCCTATATGTCATTGAATTGCTCGGATGAGTCTTTGTTTCATTACAGTATGGATAAGGATGGTTCCCTCAAAGTTGATTGGAACGAATGGAGAAATTACCTTTTGTTACATCCAAGCTCAGACCTCAGGGATATCTACACATACTGGAAACATGCAACAGTAAGTACCAAATGTCTGTTTTTAGGAACATGCACTTTTGCTTTTGGAAGGGAGGTTGCTCTCTTTTTTTGAATCAGTGTCAAAATTTTTAAGTTTCCGTTAATTTAATGTAATTATGAATTAGGAAATTTTGTTAGAATGCAGTGTTATACATGTAGCTACGCTGGTCGGCACCGGTCAGCGATATCCACTCACAGCATTCTACTGTCTGGGTACTAAAGTTAACGAAATAGTCCAGCGACTGGCACAAAAATATTTATAACTTAAAAATCCCAGAAAAAACATCAGTGATTATGAAAATTTTTTTTTTTTTTACCTGGAAAAATTAATAAAATTTGAACTAATCTGTTTGGAAAGAAAAAGTGATCTACATATGGAGTACCCTTAAGCGGGCCCCTGGAACTCCAACCATGAACCTCAAGTCTCTGGTCACGTTGCTCCCTCCGATTGCCATTACTACCATAAAAAGTCCTGCACTACAATATGGCTGGCTATAACACTGCTAGGATGCAAGCTTAAGTCCTGCAAAATCCTCCAACTACCAGTACACCCTGTAAAAATTGGATACAGCCAAAATTCTTTCAATTTCTCCTTTATTTCTTCGTGGTGTTCCTTGGATGGGTGACCAATGCCTCAATTCTTCAAAATACTTGACAGTTACATGTACTTTCATTTTGTTGAAGTACATGTAGTGTACATGTAAATGGTATCCTGGAACGATTTATGCGATTTCATGCATAACTTGGCCTTTAATTTACTTATGCATGGCTTAGCAGTAACAACCATAACAATATACCTTTGAAATTAGTCATCCTGTTTTGCGATAGTGCAGCCTCAGTCCTTCAAAACCCTCTACTTTTTAAAGAAATATTTCAGAAGATTCAGGAAGTTTGGGCTTAATGAGCTTTACATGTACGTGTTGTATTTGAAATTGAAACTTACATGTATTCTACAAGTGTCAAGATTTGAAGTTTTTGTTATTGTTTTGAATTTCTAATGTACTTTTTATTAGTTCATAGATATTGGTGAGACCCTCTCTATACCTGATGAATTCAGTGAAGATGAAAAGGAGACTGGTAGATGGTGGCGTATTCTCCTTGCTGGAGGAGCAGCAGGAGCTGTCTCGAGGACCGTTACTGCACCATTAGACAGACTAAAAGTCATCTTCCAGGTATGCTTGATTTCCGCACATTACCATGTACTGTACATGTATATGGACGGTGTCTTCTTGGTTGCAGTGAGTGTGGTTAAATTTTTTTTTTCAAATTACTTGTACATGTGTCAGGTTTTTGTTTGATACAAAATTGAACAATAGAAAATTGGACTTATTTTGTGTTTGTTTGTGTTGGCCTGTCAGTAGTTTCTCTATGAAATACTGGTACGTGAGAATGCCCCTTCAAAGTTCAGTTCTTAGCCCTTACCCCATCTTACTGCCCAGTTTAATTTAGCTGTTATAAAAATGATTGCTATTTTTCAAATTCACTCTATATTTCGTTAGCACTTGTTCTCTGACAGAAATTGTTTACATGTACAGTACATGCATTTGCTTAAATGTATTGAAAGATGTGCTGGAGCAAGAGGCAGAGAAGCCATTCAAATTCTTGTAATTGATTTTAATGTCAACCATTGGTGATTGTCAACCTTAGGTCATTGGATCTAAGAAGCAGAATCTTAGCATCACGTCTGGGTTTCAACACATGTATCGAGAGGGAGGTTTAATGTCAATGTGGAGAGGCAATGGCATTAATGTACTTAAGATTGCACCAGAAACAGCCCTGAAGTTTTTTGCCTATGAGCATGTAAGTAAGCACCTGGTACATATTTCTGCCTATTTATTTTATTATTAACTGCATATATGTGCGTTTAATATGTTTAATAAACTCTACCTACGTGTATATGTACATTTATGAGAACAGAACACTGCAAGTTCACATGGTTGAATATTGTAGCTGTGGTGACTATTTCCATGAAGGTTTCATCTTTTTCCTCTGTTTCTTGTTTTTGCATTTTCACACAAAGAACCCTTTTCTTGACCCCTGCTTGGCATACATACACTGAAATAGAAGGAAATGATTATTTCAGTGCTCGGTATTATCATTGTTAAAAAGTGGCTGTTTTATGTTTAAACTTGCCAGAGGCCTGGACACTGTTATTAAGTGGCTCTTACTATGGATGGCCTCTTAGATCAGGAAAGGCTTGACTGTTGAATTTGACTCTGAATCAATTATTGTAACTTACATGTACATAAGTAAGTTTCACTTGTTTACTATATTACTTCATTTTAGTTGAAGAAGTTGCTTGGAATTGAAGGTAGAGAGTTACGGATGCACCATCGTTTTATGGCAGGTTCTATGGCTGGTGTCTTCTCGCAGACAGTGATCTATCCCATGGAAGTAAATACATGCAGTTTATTCCCCACTTTAAAGTTTTCTAATTCATGGAAAGTGTTTCCTTTCGCATTTTGTTTTATTTTCTTATCTCCTTTCATTTGTTTAATTAATCATGAATGCTTTGTGTTGCTGAATGTTAAAACTTACATACATGTACATGTACATGTACCTTCATTGTATCTTGTACCCATTGTGCATTCTTTGAAATTGTTTTCTACACAGTATTGTACATGTTTCCTGTCCGTTATTTGTTCTGTAACAGGTACTGAAGACACGATTAGCTATCAGGAAAACTGGTCAGTACAAAGGTATTTTAGACTGTGCACTGAAGGTGTATAGAAATGAAGGATTGAGGTGTTTCTACAAGGGCTACCTACCAAACATTCTTGGTATCATCCCGTATGCTGGCATTGATCTTGCAGTCTATGAGGTGAGACAAGATTTACATGTAAATCATTTTAGTCAATGATAAAATTTGTGTTACCTATATACAGTGTATGTACAGTACTTTTCTTGCCACCATGGTCAATCCACTCAGATGAGTAACCGTCTACTGAAAACCACTTTTGAATTGAAAGAAAAAATGCTTGATAAAGGAAAACTTTTATAAATGTGTGACCAGTAGTAGGAAGCATGGCAAAATGCTGTATCTTAATGTGACTTGAATTGTTTAAGCCGTGCAAAGTGTATTTATCCAAAAGGTATTAATTTACATATAATTCGGTAATCAAAGCAACAGAATGGTGTGAAACATGTTCTTTTAAAGATGGCTAGGGGCCTGCCATTGTTAATGTACATGTACCTTAGTTGGCCTAATAGAGGCATCTGCCCTTATCCAGTATTGAACATGTTGGGTAAAATTATTTTAGTTTAATATTTTGGACTTACAATATGGGCATTTCATAATAGCCAATCACAGTGCGTGAAATCTGTCAACCCATTTGGAAATGGTCGACATATTTCGCGCGTTGTATTTGGCCAATGCGTTGCAAACTCTTGGAGGCACACTATTGTAAATTGCCTGTACTGAATCTGTTTATAACTAAAATTAGATACGCAACATTGTTATCCTTTTGCTGATATTTAACAGACTGTGAAAAACCGCTGGTTGAAGCGCCACCAAGAGTCTTCTGCACCACCTACTTTGGTGCTGTTAGCTTGTGGTACCTTCTCAAGTACATGTGGCCAGATAGCAAGCTATCCCCTTGCCCTGGTAAGGACAAGACTTCAAGCACAATGTAAGTACCCATTTCATTTCATCTCTTTATAGCAAACACCAAAGATGTTGGCTGGTTGCTCTTGGCAGCAACATGAACTAGACCGGTTTGCTGACTGTCGAGTCAATTTAAAAATTGTTGACTAGCTTACCGACTATTTGGTTTCCTTAACAGTTGACTGGTTTGCTTACTAATAAGTTAACTTGTGTTAACATTTTTTGGCTTCTGAGTTTACTGCATGTACATGTATCTGCTGTCAGCTGACTTAAGGAAATTTTTTTCCCCAGATTTTTCAGTTTCTTCGAATTTCGCCCCAGTTCAGATGTTACATAATCTTTTTCTGATTTCTTTTCACTTTTTACAGTGACAACAGGCAGTTCAATGGTTGGGCTGTTCAGTGACATTTACAGACAAGAAGGAATCCGTGGTTTATATCGTGGAATTGCGCCAAATTTCATGAAGGTTGCCCCTGCTGTAAGTATTGGTTACGTGGTATATGAGAATGTTCGGCAAGTATTAGGTGTGAATAAGTAGGCTGTAAAATCAACACGTAAACAGTATACTACTTTTCATTGATTATTCAAGAACTAAAAGTTTGCATCTAAGTTTTAGCATTCATTAAAATCCTGGCATAACACAGACTTACCGACAAACATCACAATAGTGAGAGAAAAATAGTGCAGAATGACATGTAGTAAGGTTTTGAATGTTAGTACTGAGACAAACAAAAATGCACGTTTCACATAACTGAAATATGTGTACATGTACATGTGAGTTATAAACTGAAGGGAATTAAATTTATTGAAAGTTTGCTATGTTGACTTTTTTGCTGTCAGTGACAAAAATCTATCAACGTTTTGTTATTGTCTTTCAAATACTTATCAATGACACTTTGTAAATGAACATTCTATACTGAATGGTATTACCTTACCCCAAACTTATTAGATGACTTGTTATTTGACTTCCTATTAATTTTGAAACAGTGTTTGAGAAGGGAATTTTCTATCCAGCTCAGAGGTTTGTGCCTGATTGAAGTACACAAATACATGTACATGTATGTACTTATGTTGCCAAATAGGAAGTACCGTAGACCTTGGAAAAGATTCTTTAGTGCTCTCATGGATTACAGGTTTGCCCAGAATTATGAGAGCCTAACATCCTTGGATTAATTCATTTTTGACCATATAGATACATGTAAATGATGTACGTTTACTGTAGGTTTCAGTTTTTCAATTTCCATCATTGTCATACTTATTTTAGCTTCCTGAAGTATTTGAAATCAGAAAACTTAGTTTAGCCAAGCTGAAGATGCAACCTGACTGTAAGATGTGGTATTTTCTTACTCATACACAATAAAAACAATGATCAGTTGCTTCATTTGTAAGAATGAAGCAGTTCTGTGTAAATTGGACTTGCTGGTAAACACAGGTACATGTAAATCAGTGTTATTTCATAGAAAACTTTGAAAACAATGCACTGTACGTTCATATGATTTTGTTTGAAAATATTTATTTGATTGGTGGAGAATGTAGTAGGGATGCATGGGCAAAAATAATGTTAGGGATCAGAGTTCTAATAACTCTTTGATGACCAGTAATACGAAGTTGTTTTAACGTAATTTGCCATTATAATAACACTTTAAACCTGTTAAAAGATGTTGTTTCCTCCATTATTTCTGGTCAGACCTTACAATAGCGCTTAAATTAGTGACAAATTAGTGATAAAACTCTCTGCTGTTGTCACATTCTGATTTCAATACCATCTCATTCTACTCACAAAAATTATTTTTTTTTAGCTTGAAACACTAAATCTTTGTAAGTAAAATACATGTAATTACTGTAATTGCCTAATCTTTGTACTAATAAGATGGCATTGATTGATACGCAGCCTTGATTTCTGGGTTATTCCAGAAATTAGGGGTCCATTTTTTGTGTTCCTGTCACATCTGACACATGATCTTGTAAGTTAAGAACACATTTTCCAATTTCCAAGAGTGATGTACTAATGCAAATTACATGTACCTACCCAAAAAAATAGTAATGGTGTGAAATAAATTCCGGCGATATTTCCATGGCAAATAACAAAGGTCAGATGTAATAGGGACAGAAAATGTCACATTCATGGACCTCTAATTTCTGGAATTACCCTACTACAAGTTCTGCTTCACCTTATCACGGTAATACTAATGTTTATCTTTTCATTGTAACTTTTATCAGTGCTACATCTCGGAGAAAGTTGTTTCTGCAAAGCACACATTTAACATACAAACATTTATGTTTAATGTACTATCTGTTAGCTTAGGAGGCAGAAGATGGAAGTACTCATTGAATATACCCATTCATGTTAAAAACAATTTCTGGATTTTTTAAGGTGCAGTAAATGTTTTGTTTACTTCCCTATAGGTGCCTTGGAAGTTTGTTATAGAACTCAGTAAGGGGTAATACATGTATGCATTGTTAGCTCAAACATATTTTTACTTTTTCTTGTAAATTTGTTAACTACCAGTCATTCCTGATGATGAAACTGTGGGGTTTTATTGTTTTTTTAGTCATGTAAGTGAACATTTTGTTAATATTTATATTTTTTGTATATTAGTTTCACATGTATACATGTATCAATTTACAGCTGTTAAAATGTACATGTATTTATGATTCAATTTTTATTTGGCATTTATGTACGCAATAAATGTTTTCAAATCAGTCGCAAATGAAAAAAAAATCAGTATTTAATGTACATACATCTAGTTGAAAATGCAATTTTATTAGACTCATCGACGAGTGGGTAATTAGTTGTAACTATATATTTAATAGGGCTTTGGTCCCATCTCGACTTGCTTCACAACTTACCAATGGAGAATGCTCTTGTGGTGTAACTATATTTACGGAATAGGTTTGTTTCTTATGTTGGCTCAGGGAATTGGACACTGATAGTGATTCTAAAATACCAACTCCTTTCTACTTCTATGTGTACATGTGCTTGTATTTTGGGTCCACAAAGCTATGGTCCTGCAATTAATCCCACACCTATCTGCCA